TAAAAACGATCTACAATTAACAAAATGAACAATAATGAGAATGATGAACAATGGTGAACAGAATGAATCATGATGGAAATGATGAACTTCGATAAAAAAAACACACAATGAATTCGAGTGAAAACAATGAGTCAGAATGTAACACTGAACGAAACTGAGCATCGTGAATCATAATGAATTATGATGAAAATATGGAAACAGTGTAAATAATCATCCGTAGAGAAAATTAATGAAAATGATAAACCACAAAGAAGCGTGATGGAGATTGAACCATAATCAATGATAATGAATGTGATTCATTACCATTATGTTATTATCATTATCATTATTATTATTATTGTCATAATTGGTAATTATTATTACTATCATAATCATTATTATAATCATCATCACCCTTACCAAAATAATTATAACAATAACGATAATAACAATAATACAAGTAATAACGGATAAAATAATCATAGCGTAGATAGTATTAAAATGAAAATAATATCGATAATGATAACCATATCAACGATAACGATAATGACGATGATGTATATGCATAAGTATTAATATATACATATACATTCACATATATCGAGAAATCAAATCGCATAACAGACACACACGACCTATCTCCCCATGATCCTGACGCGCGCAAATCACCCTTATCGATCATTAGCATATTTCAGGTAGTCGTCAATCGTGTACTCGAAGAGCTGGAAGTCGAGGAGATAGCGCTGGTGAAGCTGAAGGATCTGCTCGTGGGTGAGGAGAGAGTAGTACTGAGAAGCGAGGTCCTGGGAAGTGGCGTTCTTAAGGTGCCGCCATTCTTGCGTCTGCCTCTGTGAAGTTTTAGGAGGAGAGAGCGGTGTAAGTTCTTTTTTTTTTTAAAGTGTGTTTGAAGGTTTTTGTATGGATGGGATATTTATTTTTCTTTCTTGGTATTTAGTCTTAATTCGTCTTTCTTTCTCTTTTTTTTCTTTCTTTATATTATGGTAATGAGTGTAATTTTGTATTGCATTTTTAGTGTTATATGTGTTGCTGGTTTGCTCTTTTAGATAAAAGTTTTACACACAAATAGGACATACAACTTTATTTGGGTATCAATAATGTCGTGTTTATTTGCTCGTAGATAATACATGTGATTTTGTTTTGCTCTTTTATATGTGATAGATTAGACCTGTGACCTTAATTATGCAGTTATATATTTAATAAATTATCATGTGTTTATTTAATTATCCTTATTCATTAATTCATTCATTTAGTCCTCACAATATGCATATGAAGTTATTCTACTATATCTTAATCAGACGGGCAAGGGATATATTGCATTTCTTGAAAACTTTATTCAACTTATGCATCATCTTGTTAAGATCTGATGCACACATGATAAGACTTTATACTGATTTACCCATGTATTATCCTACTAAGATTTGATGTATAAATAAGACTTAATGAACTTTTCTTCTAGTCATGAATGATCTTGCGAGGAATCAAAGCATCGCCAATCATATTTTATACAATTTAACTTTATTCGTGTATTCTCTTAGAGGGATCTGATGTCTAGATATCCATACTTTATAAATTTTGCTTTACACTCGTATTAAATTAGCAGGAATTATTGCAAATATAAGCATATATGTAACTTTTCATTCTTACAAGAGTGGTATAAGATACTTACTTTCTTGAGTTCTTCGTAGTTTGCAAGAGTTATGAGGAACCTTTCATCCTCCTGCATAGTTTCCAACTTGAGAATGAGGGTGTAGTCACTGCTACATACGTTACATTGCGCCCAGTATGGTGTCCAGCACTTCACCTGCAAAGGAAGGTTGGCTTTTATTTATGGGGTCGAGTTTCATGGTCTGTCTGCTTTGTTTCGTTTCTCTCTCTCTCTCCCTCTCTCTCTCTTTTTTATTCTCTTGCTTTCTCTCTTTCTCTCCCCTATGTCTTCCTGTCTCTCTCTCTAAGTCTCTTTCTCTCTCACTCACTCTCTTTCTCGCTCTTTCTCTCTCTCTCTCTCTCTCTCTCTCTCTCTCTCTCTCTCTCTCTCTCTCTCTCTCTCTCTCTCTCTCTCTCTCTCTCTCTCTCTCTCTCTCTCTCTCTCTCTCTCTCTACATTTATCCATCTTTCTCTCCCTCCCTGAATCGAACAAAAATACCATCTAACAAACTTTACCACACACATACACACACACACACTCACACGCACCCACATACACACACATATTACCATTACATCACGAGCACACAGCTAATGAACTCACATGATCCACCCAGTCCTCCGCTGTCTGGTAGCCTTTAGTGGAGTCAATGATATGCTGCACAAACTCCGGGAAAGTCGGGAAGGGAGACGTCTCAGGACTATCTGCATGTCGGTACTTCGAGATGATAGTCAGCTGAAGGTCCCGAAAGTGGTATTCTCGAGGCTTGGGGTCCATTTTGCTCATTTTATCCCTGTAGGCTGAGAGGATCCTTGGAGGGAGAGAGAGAGCGAGAAAAGAAGTTATGATGTTGTTGTGATGTGTGGTTTAAAGGGTCATTGGGTGTGATGCTGTGTTGGTGTTGTCAGGAGGATAAAGGTTTTTAAGGGGGGGGGGGATGTGAGGGGAGGATAAGAATTGTAACAGTTATGATATCAAGAGGATCAGGGTGAGATTTCAATTTCTAGTGAAGTCAAGCAGTTCAGATTATTATTATGATAATAATAATAATAATGATAATAATAATAATAATGATAATAATAATAATAATGATAATAATAATAATAATCATAATGATAATACTAATACTAATAGTAATAATAATAATGATGATAATGATATTGATAATAATAATAATAATAATAATGATGATAATGATAATGATAATAATAATGATAACAGTAATAATAATGATGATGATAATGATAATGATAATAATAATAATAATAGTAATAATAATAATAATAATAATAGTAATAATAATAATAATAATAAAAGATAAAATAGTCTGTCCAAGCAACGCCAGCCATTTTTTTCTCTTTCCTCTTCTTCTTCTACTTTTTATTTTTCATTTTATTTTAAAGTCTTTCTATTTCTTCGCTCCCCCTTTTGTACTTTTATCCTCCTTCCTCTATTGTTTCTTCTTTTTCTTCCTCTTTTTCCTTCTTCTTCATTGCCTTCTTTATCTCATTCCTCCTCTTCTTCTTCTTCTCTTCCTCCTCCTCCTCCTTCTTCTTCTCCCTCTTTTCCCTTCTTCTTCATCTCTTTCTCCTTTTTCTTTTTCTTCATATATCTCCTTCCCTATTTTTCTTCTTCTTTATCTTTCTTTGCTTATCGATACAGATTATCCGTTTTAGATAAATTTGTTAATGAATAAAAATATAAACAGATAAATAAAAAATACATAAAACAAGTAAAAGATATATAAACAAATAAATATATAAATAAACAAGGAGATTAATAAACGGACAGATAAATAAACTGATAAACTAGTAAATAAAGAATTAATAAATAAACAAATACAAAATAGATAAGTAAACAAGTACAAGACGAATGAATGAATAAGAAATAATGACTAAATAAATCAACAAACAAACAGGAGCAAATAAACAGAAAGCAAACAAACAAGAACAGATAAAAGGATAAATAATTAAACAAAGAAGAAAAATGCATAGATGAATAAACAACCAAACAAGGACAAACAAACAAGAACAAATAAAAGGATAAACAACCAAACAAACAAGAAAAATACATAGACGAATAGACTACCAAACACGGACAAATAAACAAGAACAAATACATAGACCATTAAAGAAACAAGCAAGGACAAACAAACAAAATAAAAAATAAACAGACCCATAATTTACAAAAAAAAGAAAAGAAAGAAAAAAAAACGACTTTCCATCAACGCGAAGACAGAGGACCTACCTGGCGAAGGGGTGCCTGACGAACATTACCCTTACGGCGCCCTCAAACGCCTCCTTCAGGTATGCGCCGTCGCTAGGGGCAGGGTACAGCTCAAACACCTTTTTCTGCCGCGCCCCATACTTCACCTGCAAGGGCGTGGGCGAGTTACAGCAAGGTTTAGGTTTTGTCTTTCTCTCTCTTACTCTCTGTCTCTGTTTCTCGCTTTCTTTCAGTCTCTCTGTCTGTCTGTCTGTCTTTCTGTCTCTTTTTCATTCCCCCCTTTCTCTCTCTCTCTCTCTCTCTCTTTTTCATTCCCCCCTTTCTCTCTCTCTCACTCTCTTTCTCTGTTTCTCTCTCTCTCTCTCTTATTATCATTGTTATTATTATCATTACTGTTGTTGTTGATGTTATTACTATTATTATTATTATTATCATGATTATTAGTGTTATTATCATTATTACCATCATCATCATCACCATAATTATTATCCTTATTATCATTATCATTTTTCGTGTTGTTTTCTATGGCGTCTGTTTTTAACTTATATATATGAATATAAATATAAATATAATATATATATATATATATATATATATATATATATATATATATATATATATATACATATATATATATATATATATATATATATATATATATATATATATATATATATATATATATGTATATATATTTATTTATCTATATATATACATACACACATATATATGTGTGTGTGTGTGTGAATGTATATAAACAAGTGTGTGTGTCCCCGTCCAAAACAGCTTATCTCACCGTCAGCCGCATCTGCTCCCTCTTCTCCGGCGGCAGTTTGAGGATCTCGGGGTTGTCTTCGTTGAAGTGGGCGAGACGGAGGTAGTTGACCATCCAGGAAGTGGAGGCGACCTGGGGGAGGGGAGGGGAGGGGGAAGGGGTGAATAGACGCTAGGGTTATGAGGGCCTATTGGCCTGGATGTCTCTTGCGTTTTTCTTTCTTTCTTTTTTGTCTTTTTTATTTGTTTATTTTTTGTTGTTTTGTTATTTTGTTTTTGTGTTTTTGTCTCTATATTTTTCGTTTCTATTTTGATTTCTCTCTCTTTTATCTTTCGCTTTCTGTCTCGCTCTCTCTCTCTCCCTCCCTCTCTCTAGCTATATCTGTCTCTATCTATCAATTAATCTATCTATTCTCTCCCCAGCCTCCTTTTCCTTCTCTTCGTATGTCTCTCACACTCATTTTAACTTTCTTTCTGACTGTGCTGACATTTTACGTTATATTCCCTTCATTTTCAGAGCACGTCGTCACTTCATAACAGGAAATATCCGTAAAAAAGAAGCTTTTTTTTTGTAAAGTTCACATTTTTGAGTGTGGCAATATAACAATCCTTTCTCCATAGCACATATAAACATTTTGGAAACAATGCAGTTAACATAAAATATGGAGGGAATGGTTATTATCTTCAGTATATCTCAATATTATGACATTATGACGTTCAACATTACGCAACAAAGGTACGTCCTTATATCTTAAATCCCGCTTTTATCTCAATAAAACGTTATCATTCTTCATTCTCCCTTTCTCTCTCTCTCTCTCTAATTCAAGCATTACATCCTTGACCAAAAATTCCCTTAACTTTCCTTTAATCTTGCTTCGATAATCTGTAATTTAGTGACAATATCCACCAGCGGACCTTAGACCCAACGCCCTCTCCTTTGCGACGAAACCGTTATGAAGAGCGAGGGTGGAGCAGGAGTTGCCACTTAGGGTTATTCGTGGCGGAAGACCGGGTAATTAGTGCTATGGCGTTTTTTGTTTGTTTGTTTGTTTGTTTCTTGGGGGGGGAGGGGGTTCTTTGGTTTCTGTCTGTCGCTTTGGTTGGTTGGTTTTATGTCTGTTTATCTGTCTATCTGTTTCTCTTTCTCTTACTCTATCTCTATCTCTATCTCTCTCTCTTTCTCTCTCCCTCCCCTCCCTCCCTCCCTCCTCTCTCTCTCTCTCTCTCTCTCTCTCTCTCTCTCTCTCTCTCTCTCTCTCTCTCTCTCTCTCTCTCTCTCTCTCTCTCTCTCCCTCCCTCCCTCCCTCCCTCCCCTGAGTACCTTGATAATGTAATGAATAAAAAAGAAAAAAGAAAAAAAAAAAGAAAAACATTCTACTCAAGCTTGAAATTAATATACTTCAAAATGAACCTGAAATAACGGCATTTCCAACCGAAACATTTAAAGAGAAAGCCATTTTCTGTCTAGTCATTCTACCTTTCCTGTCACGTAATCGAAGGAAGGAGGATGGATGTATATATTTTTTTCTTTGTTTCTTTCTTTCTGTTCTTTGTAGTATATTTTCTTTCCGTTATCACTGTGCTTATCTGTCTGTCTACTTATCTGTCTTTCTGTCTATGTGTGTGTGTATATACGTATATATGTATGTATGTATGTATGTTCGTATATGTATGTATGTATGCATGTATATGTTTGTGTGTGCACGTATATTTGTATCGATGTATGTGCGATTATGTATGTATGTATGTATCAATATTTGTGTTCACATTTTTATCTATATTTCTATATCTAAATCTATCTATTTATACATAGTGATAGACAGACAGATAGATAGACAGAAAGAAAGACAGATAGATGAATAGACAAACAATTATAGAAAGAAAAATAGGCAGTTACATAAGTAGATAGAGGTAAACAGATACAGATAGATAGATATATAAACATGGAGAAATTGATGCAAATATTCGTATCTATGTGTTATGATTTTTTTTTCTAATATGTATGTCGAATTTGTGGTAAAAATATAACGGCAAAGATAAAGTGCAATGCCCAAAGTGTTCTGCAAATGCCTTTGTTCTTGCTATGCATCTTGCAACCCGTTATGCATAATTTGTAAGCTCTTGGCAATTTGCCCTATTCAGCGAGCTTTAGTGTGTAAGTGTGTGTGTTTGTGTGTAAGGGGGGTGGTGAGTGTGGGGGGATGAGTGTGTGTGTGTGTGTGTGTGTGTGTGTGTGTGTGTGTGTGTGTGTGTGTGTGTGTGTGTGTATGTGTGTGTGTGTGTGTGTGTGTGAAAGAGGTGCATTCGCTTGCATTTATTCTTTCATGTGCGTGTACCTGCATACGAGTCAACGAGTGCACAGCTCCCCAACCTGTTTATGAAGGTCAAACTCGCCACACCTCGCAACGAAGCTCCACCGTACCTTATAATTAGGACACCACACCACGTTAGGCTGGTGCTTGAGATCCCAGATCAAGTGCAGTAACCTGGAGGTAGCCAGTTTCGAGCGCGCTTTGCACATGGAGCTCACTCGAGAAGCTCTCCGCAGAAGCTCCTTACGACGCGCCTCCATGAACTTCTTCTCCTGCAAGCAAAAACAAATAGAGCTTAAATGTTGCAGGAAGTCTCGTAATGGTGCAGAGGAAATGAGCGTGAACGGTATAGGAAAATATATTCGCGTTAACTTTAAAGATGTGTTGTTATTGTGAACACTTGAACAACTGAATACCTGAATAGATATACACCTGAACAGCTGAACGCCTAAACAACTGAGCATCTGAACAACTAAGCACCCAAACAATTGAACAGCTGAATAATTGAACATCTAAACTAAACAGCAGAACTAAACACCTAAGCAGATGAACATCCGAACATTTGAATACTTGAACAATTAATTACCCTGAATTACACCTGAACATCTGAACAATTGAACATTGGTAAGTTATTTTCCTGACCTCTCCTTTGAATCTGCTAAAATCCATGTTCTTGAGCACTCGTCCCTTCGTGGGCTTGAGCACGGGGTAGCGGACAATCTGCGGGATGGGCTCGCCCTTGAGGTACACCTTGTTGTTCACTACCACGAACTCCACGTCATCTCCTTGGCTCGTGTTCCTCGCCTGTGGCTTTGGCGAGGTTGTGGTTGACGTCGGTTTCGCCTCGCTCTTCGTCTTCTGAGCGTTGTTCTTCAGGAAATCCTCTAGTTCGGCCTCGGAGAGTTCGAGGCTGAGCTCCCGGCCGTCCTGGTTGAGGCGGACGTTGTACCTGTGCTGGGGAGATGAGGACAAGTGGTAGCAGAGGGCGAAGAGGGCGACGCCGACGACTGCCAAGATGTAGCTACGTCTTACTCCTCCAGGCATGATTGGCTTGTTTGTCTTTCTGCGTGTTGTGAGGTGGAGATCGCACACAGGAGAGTTAAAGGTAAAACTTGCAACATTCAGTGGGTGTCCGATGCATCTCGTTCTTCCCTTGGGTGTGGTACTAACACTTGACACCGATAGTTAAAATCACACTGGTTCGCACTAACTCATCTTTCCATATTTTGTATACACTTAACCACATTAAAGGATATAATAATTCTCCTACAGCGCCTGTTATAAGCCCCCGAGTGTTAAAACGCAGCTGTTAGAAGCCGCCCGACCAGTTCCCGAGCAGGTGGCGACCTCACTGGCGAGCCGGACCAGCAAGTCAGCACGGAAGATCCGCCTACCGGTCTCCAGGTATATCCTACACCTCTTCCCCGCCCTCCAACCCCCACCCCCTAACCTGCTCTCCTGGCGCATCTTCCTCGTCCGGGACATTTTTTTCTTTTCTATCAGATGCGCTTTGATAAGCAGGAGAGACACTGCGTTCTCTTTTTCTCTCTGTCTGTCTGTATGTCTCTCTCTCTCTCTCTCTCTCTCACACACACACACACACACACACACACATATGTATGTATGTATATATATATATATATATATATATATATATATATATATATATATATACATATATACATATGTGTGTTTTCTAAATATAACAAACGACAAACGATATGTAACGGTACGATTTCCTTTAAAAGACACTGGAGGAAGGAGGCTGTTCAACAATATACACGTCGACACGGTAGGTGCCAGGCAAATATGAACGAAAATCCTTGCATTGTCAACAATCCAACATGAGGTGACTTGAGGTATTAACGAAGATGACTGAAACAATGAAAAAAAAATATTTCGCCGTTATTGTAACTTCTCCCGCTTTTCCTAGAATCAGGTTTGGCCGAGCTTGCTTCTCGGTGTCAATATCACCCTCTTGCTTCACGGAATTGGACCACGGTTGATGCAGCGAAGGACATCCAATCAAGACAAGGGTGCATTGTTATAACCTGGATCTGACAAGAACATCGCTTTCATCCCCCCAAAACATTAGGCGTAAACCACGATCATTGCGAAGTTTTCCTAGTGAGTGGAAATATCCATTAAAACCGTTATATCCGTTTTTCACCTCCGCTAACCGGGAGGCAGATCCACGCTCACCCTGACTTCTTGCTGCCAGGAGTATGGACGTGTGTGGTACTTGATGCTGTGCCTTTACTCTACTGTTCTGTTTTAGCACTTTCTCTAGGTTCTTATTCCCACTTACTAGGAATTAGGGAGAAGTGAAGTAGGTTCATTCTATTGTTCTGTTGTAACATCCCCTTTAGCTTCTCATTAACAGATACTAGGAATTTGTTATTAAGAAGAGAAGATGCGTTCGTTCTACTGTTCTGTTTTAACACCCCCTCTAGCTTCGAATCCCCTGATATTACAGGAATTTATGTATTAGGGAGAAGTGAGGATGGCGAGTCCATCGTAAAACCTTTGGAAGCGAAACATTATGGTTTTTATTGTCGGAATTAGAGGGTCTCCCTAAAGTGCGGTGAATTAGCATGACTTTCAACAGTAGGTAATCATAAAAGTGCTTTGATCATCTCACTCTTGGAATAATACTGCGGTGTCACTGAACTGATATAGAATTCTATACATTATAGCTCGTTCCTTCTCTGAAAATGGAATATAAATACTATTAGTTTGTTGAAGAATTATGACAGTTTCATATTCCTTTATGTTAAATAATATCAGTATAAATAAGATATTTTAGACCAATTTGCTTCATTACCTGCAGCAGAAATGTTCATTATTTTCTGCAAAACTGCCATTTTCGCAGACCACACTCACTGTAAGAACCATGCATCATACGAATGATACATAATGATAGATATTTATAGCAGGACGCCCCCCCCCCCCCCCGCTTTCCTTTGTATCTGAAACATTTTCCAAGGAAAACGATTTTATATCGAGTAAAGAATTTTACAACTATTAATTTACTAAACAATGAACCAATGATTAAGATGTCTGGAGGCCTACAACAAATACTACTAATCTGTTGTATTCAATATTTTCTTTATCATATTTTTTTATTTCTTTCATGATTTTCCAATGAAGACTTTTTCCATAACATTCCAAGCATTCCAACTTCCTCACCAGTATCAAATTTTCACACCGGTCTTAATAATTATTCAAGATATGAAATTCTGCACTACAGTGACGTTCGGAGACTATCGTTAAAATTTTCTGATTGGATCTATTTGTTTCTTTATTCATCACCTCATCCCAAAGTTGTTGAATCTGGGTCGTCCTATATTATCGTTAAACTGCAAGGTAAGATTGTATTGTTTATTTCTGTACATAAAAAAAAAAAATGAAACAGTAACGATTTCTAAATCCTTCTTTGTTTTCCAGAGAGGTTTTTGCAACTGTTTTGGTTTATGTATATATATATGTGTGTGTGTGTGTGTGTGTGTGTATTTCATTTTATTTATTCATTTTTTATCGTCATGGTACAGAGTTCTGACATTAATTCAGTTCAGTTAAAGTGACCTCTTCTTAAATTTCCTTTAGCGGCTTATAAAGGATCGAATTTCTCTTCCACACACACACACACACACACACACACACACACATACACACATACACATGCACACATAGAAAGTTACATGTATTCACACATACACATGTACGCATAGAACTAAAGGATGCAGAAGTATAAGAATACACAGTTATATTCAACAACATTAAAGACTCTGAATTTATAATGATTTATAATCAAGGTCAACATCAAAAAAGGATACCTACTCAAAAACATTTGACCTAGAAAAGAAAAGAAAAGAAAAAATATATATATGTATATATTATCCATTTACCTTGGAGATTTAGTATCGTATGATAATATATGCTCAACTGATACACGTTATAGTAGCAATCTTAACATTCCATGCGAAAGGTGTTTTGCAACAGAGCCGACCCAAGCTTTTCTGGGTCCCTAGGAATTTAGCTCGGGGTCCCTGCCGAGAATACAGAGGGACCAGTTATCTTAGCTCGGGGGTCCCTGTCGACATTACTGTATTTCTGACTTCTGTGGGTCCAGTTATCTGTATCGTAAGCAGATTGCTTAATACTGAATTTCTGCTTTGTTACTATTGGCATAAATGTATTAATAAATAAATAAATAAGTGGTTTGTGTTTATGCATTAACCTTTATTTGCTTAGTCTGGGGAATGATGGATATGAAACACGATTTGTGATTTCTTGTTTTTAATTCAAATTTTATGACATTTTAAAACTACTTTGGGCTATAAAAAGAGTATTAATATGTAAACACATAATGTAAATAAATATATCAATATCACATGTAAACAATATCAGTAGAAGTAATAACTATAATGATATTTATGGTAATTATAACGATATATTAGATGTTCTAATGTAGAATATTTCTATAATTTTGAGATAAAAAATTTAGTTCTAATATAGAACAATTATAGACGTGTGCACATACATTATATATATATATATATATATATATATATATATATATTATATATATATATATATATATATACATATAATTTATATATATACATATATATATATATATATCTATATATATATATTTATATATACATAATATATATATATAATATATATATATTATATATATATTATATATTATATATATTTAATATATAGACAATATATATATATATACTATAATTATATATATATACCTATATATATATGTAGACATATATATATATATATATATATATATATATATTATATATGTATATTATTATATATACATATAATTATATATATATATATATATATATATATATATGTATATATATAATACATCATATATATATATATATATTATATCTATAATATATATATAATATATATATTATATTACTCACATATATTACTTATATATGTGATATATAAAAATATATAATGAAATATATTCAATATATCTATATATATTTACATATTTATATATATAATATATATATATTATATATTATTAATATATATTATATATTCATGCATGTAATTGTTTACATCATGTGCTTACACATATACTGTAGATAAGCAAACGAGCATATGTGAACACAGAAAAAAATGTATTCATACACTTACACATACAGGTGCACATACACACTGTTTTCCTGGATTAACTGTTCAGCAAAGTTAGCTCGTGTTTTGGACTTTGAAGGGACAGTTAATCAATCACTGTTTAAATAATAATTTTTAGTAGTAGTATCATTATCATCAATATCATTCTACTGTGTTTGATCACTCTGCATATTATATAAAAAAGACCGCTTCGGTTACAGCAGGGATTACTTTGTGAAGAAGAAAAAATAATAATTGTACGGATATATATGCTAGACCTACATTAACAATGTCGAACTGTTGACAAATATAGCCACGCAGTAAAACTTTATACCATAGAACAATAAACTCTAAGCACAAGATCCTGTATATACGCTTTC